CCCCACCTCGCTTAATAATATAATTAAAAAATTATTTATATATATATAAACTAAAATTAAAAATATTTATATGTAAAAATTTATATTATTTTACTTTTCTTTTATTTTTTTAAATTTATTTATATTTATTTAAAAAAAAAATAGAAATGGGGACAAGGAAACCCGAACCTTGCTGGAGGCGGGGATAAGTACCCAGATTTTAACCCCAGCAAGGCGGGAACGATTTAAATTTGCAGAGACAAGGGCGAGAAACGTAAAACCTACCCCGCTCCGTGAAGGAAGAATTTGAGTGGTTTGTGGAGTTGCAATTTGCTAGTTCTGAGGTTTAGGAGCATTTTGATAGATTATCCGTGGCTCAAGATTTTAGTAGTTGAAGAACTCGTACAAAAATAAAACACTAGAGTAACGGTGATTGGTATTGGTAAGAGATTTTTGTGGTGGTGCAATCACTACGGAGCTCAAATAATCGTGGGGGTTTCGCGAGTTATGATATTCGTCATTTCCAAAAGTGATCTTTAAAAACAAATTATCAAACAATATTTTTTTAACTATAAAAACTATTTTTAAAATTGTCTTATCAAACAATTGTTTTCTCTCTATTCTTCTGATCAACAGTTCTTTACAATTATTTTAAAAATTAAATTTAAAAAAAAAATTTCAACACAAATTAATCATCAAAAACGTCAATAGATAATTCGTTTTAAAAACATGTTTAAATAAACTTATCTATGAATACTTTTGAGAAGAAAAAAATATAAAGGCACAAGAACTAAACTTACTTTGATGTAAACTAAAACTAATTTATACATAAATTTATTTGTAATTTTTTTTGGAGAAGTCATATTAGAAAGATTTATACAAATTAACTTATGCATAAATTATTTTTTTTCTTATGAAACAACATTCATTTTTCCTTCATAGTTTATACATAAGTGATTCTAGAAAAATTTATCAAATCAAGCCCGGTTAACATGATTACACAATGGAGCCTGAACCTCCCCATACAAAGGTAAAGATGCACTCAACTGTTCTGATTTTTCTTAAAACCAAAGTTAAGGCAGGCTGGGGATTACAATCACAACCGATTCATATATCATACAGTATATAATAGCAACCATCACCGCTCTAATCATCGAGATTAAGCTTATATCTTTCCCTTACACAACCATTTGAACCTTGATACTGTATTTGTTCCTGGACTCCTAGATGATTGTGTGTTCAATTCAGTGGCCTGATAATAGTTATGGCACACTACTCTTTCAGCAACTCATCTAACTTATTTAACCAAATGTCATAAATATCAGGGGAGAACAAAACAAAGTGGACCTGAAAAAAACATTGAAACGTGATTACATATTCTAAAAACCTAACCACAAACATCTTATTAGATAAAAAATTTATCAAACAAACTCCAACCATCAAATAAGGTATCAGGTTGCCTCATCTCATAATTCTAAATGGTATTTATGAGTGTAAGAATATTTGGAACCACAAAATTGTGAATTGATTTAAATAAATGCAATCTATTCTGAAAAGTTATGTTAGAAATTCTATGTCGGGTAAAATATGAAGCTTAATGTTACTTATGCCTTGAGGCTCTCCCACCTAAAGGACTACCTATATGTTGGATTAAAGTGTAAACCGAATATTGAAATGTGAGTGAAGTCATTGAAAAGAAAAAGAATACTACTAGGTTAGTGTTAATAGAGTGAATGTTAGCCCTTAAATGGCATGACAATGTTAGTGACTGTTTGGTTTAATATAACCATTTTCTATTTTCTAAAAAAAATTTTCATTTCTAAATTTATAAGATTTTAATAACATGTTTGTTTCGAGAACTTATTTTCTGTTTTCAAAAATTATTTGAATTGAGGTGGAAGCAACAGTGGAAGTGGAAGCAACATTGACAATGATGGGGGTGACCGTGATTGTGAGAGATGGTGACACGATGGTGGCAACACTGCCAACACTACAACCACCACCAATGTTGTCACTATAGCCACCACTCTCACTGTCATTATTGTCAACAATGGTGGTGATTGTGGTGACAACAACAACAGTAGTGATGATGATGGTGGTGGCAGTGACAATATTGGTCTCACGGGCACCAACACTTCCATGACCATTGTTGTTACAAACCAAAATCCGTATAGAAAATAACAAGGCAGAACAAAAGTATAATATTGAAGACTCAAAAGAAAAGAGAACTCAGTGTTGTATTATTTCTACCGAATAACAAGAAAATGTTACAACGGAATGGATATTCCACTACCGCAGAGCTAAGCTCCTACAGAGGACTAATGCTCTCTTTCCTTAACTTATTTCCTGAATTGTTCCAAAAGTGTTGTCCCCCCTTACTCCCTACCAATACAATAGAAAACTCCCTCACCCAAATTGTTCCACTCCTCTCTCAGCCACGTCCACATTCTCTCCTTTCCCTCTTTTATTTCTCCTAACATATGCTATCCATACTTTTAGGCTTGGTCAGCTGATGTGCTAATGGCCTATCAAGGCCCAAATGATCATCTAAGGTCCTATCAATTGTGACAACAATGGTAGCAATAGTAGTGGAGACAACGACCATGATAAAGACAATAATAATGACAAAAGTCGTGATAATAGTGGTGGCAGTGACAATGGTGATGTTGTGACCACCGTTGCCATCAAAAGATTCAAAACCATTGTAGCAACATTGACAATGGTGGTGGTGGAGATAGCAACAAAATGACAACAACAATAGTGATAGTAGTGGCAATGACAACAATGATGGCATCACCACCACTTGTCGCTACAATCATTGTGGTAACGATGACAAAGGTAATGGTGAATACAACAGTGATGATAGTGATGATGGTGATGACAATGGCAACGATGTTCCACAATAATCATTGCAATGATAGTGTTAATGAAAACAACGACAACAACAATGATGACAATGATGAAGATGGTGGTGGTAATGGCAATGGTGGTAATATAGCCACCACTATCGCCACGATTGTTGTGGCGGTAATGACAGTGGTGGTGGTGATGGAGACGATCATAATAGTGATGATGAAAGTGATGGTGATAATGATGGTGGCAATGGTAGTAATGGTGGCATCGCTGCCACCACCACTACTACTACTACTACTACCATCACCACCACTAACACTACTACTACCATCACCACCACCACTAACACTATCACCTCCACTAGTGAAGAGATAATGGAATGATGAAACTTGAAAAAGAAAAAAACTATTTAATAAATATGGTTTATGCCATCGTGTTTTCAACTTGTTGGAAAATATTGAAAACAACTTTATTTTGTTTTCTATTTTGGCCTTCATTTTGGAAATGTTTCATAGAAAATATTTTCTAAAATTTGAACAAGTGTTCTTTCACCACTACTTTCCATTTTCACTTAAAATGTAAACAAAAAATGGACATACCAAATAGTCCCTTAGGAAATCCAAATTAAGTAGAATATGAAATTCAATATGATACTTAAGCCTTAAGACTCTCCCACCCAATGGACTAGTATTTTGGGAAGGGCTCTCGTGTGCTTAAGTCCAAACAATACAAAATAGGAATTGACCTGATTTTAAGATGAAATCCTACATTAGAAAATTTCTAAAATAGGAACCAACTTGATTTTGAAATAAAATCCTTTGTAAAGTAAATTTAAAAAGAATATCTGATCCTTAAAAACATTTTGATTTCAGTTCCATACATCGAAAATTCCACTAAAATCCGGTTAGTTTTCACTGGAATTTTGTACTAAATCATATCAAACAAATTCCACGTTTCAGTGATTCCAAACTCGGAAGAATTGACGTCATATCAACCGAATTTGTCAATCATCAGAGAAACCCAATGGCAAACACGCAATCACATCTACTTGGAAATATTATATTTTATTCAAAGTGCAAAATGAAATGTATATTTATTCACATTAAACCAAATATGTAATGTAATACCTCATTAAACTCGTTTGAAAATTCTTTAATGGTAGAAATTGCCACTGTAGCAGCTTCATCATATGGGTATCTGAAACAAAGCAGCATTATACCGTTGGAATGAAAGTCTTGGGTCTACTAAAAAATCAACGCGAGAATTAGATTCGAGAGCCAATAAATTGAATGAATTTATAAGGTTGAGAACAAATTACAAGAATCATCATTAAAAAAGAGCATGGCTATGATATCATATTAAATGGCCAGCTATAATGAATTTTAGTATGTTTTGTTCCACTGATCAAACTTTTGAAATGAATAGCCATGATGGAAATAACTTTCCATAGGATTCCATCATGAAAACCTACCCATAGACACCTGACCGATATTGATGATCAACATGTGAGGAATGGGTAAATTAGAATGGAAGGGGTGAGTTTTTTTATCATAAACCTACCCATAGACACCACATGATATAGCTGGGAATGCTATATACCGAATGTTGTTTTCTTTTGCAACCTTCAAAGTATTCCTGGAAATTAATTTGACAATACAAATGTCTCAATCAAATATAATGACAATGAACCGAAACACAAAACGAAATAAATAATAAGCATTTTCTTATTCAAAGATGATGAAGAATAGCTGGACACACACAAGGCTAAAAAAGCTACCTGTAAGCACTTGCGAGAGAGGCAGCAGGATTACTATCAGCACTGTAGATAGGACCAACAGTGTGAATGACATGAGAGGCAGGCAGCATAAAACCACTGCACATTAACAACTATAAGGTCTATGAGAGACAAGAAGAACTCGTTAAGCTGATTTTATCTTTAGCAAAAAAACTTCAATTTCCAACGCATGAAAGCAAGACCAAAATCTTTTTCATCTCAATAAACATGTAAAAGTTTGTTTTTAGCCCCTCATTTTTAAAACATCGATTTGTGGTCCCCATTGCTAATCCAATTTAATGGGTCACCAGACACGTCTGGACACATCATGCACATGATAATTTAAAGGCCCAAAAACAGTCGTTTTGCACCATGCACTTATGCTAATTTAAAGGCCCAAATTAGTAGAGCTATTGACCATCACTGCTAAATTGATTTAACTATGTTAGTGACAGACATAAAATTTGACACATTCTTAAAGATGAAGCACTAAAAGTCTATGTTTTAACAAGGACTAAAAATGAACTTTTGCATATTTATGTACAAGAAAAAATGTTTAACCCTAAAAACTATTTGAATAATCTCATTGACATGTGCTAAAGAAGAATAACTCACGGTGTGATCCTTGCTTCTCCAGTTGGGCACCGAACTGCGGGCCAGACTTCAGGGACAGTGCGGCATGCTTCAACAAGTTGTGGGCCTGCGGCCCTATGTATAGCTGAAAGCAGGGTTCATTCACACTCATTAACATAAATAATTTTCAAATTTCAGTTTTCACCACCTCAAGAAATGAGTTACCTCCATCGGCACCACCGCCACCGAGCATTCTCTCATTCGCGGGATTCACCTGCAGAGAGGAGAGGAGATCGTGCAATTCATGGATTTTCGTGCAGTAGAGAAAATACGAGAGAGGAACAGTTACAGTTACATACTATTGCGTCGGTGGAACCATCGATTGACCATCTTGTTATGTCTCCTTTCTGAATGACCAAAGCGCTCGATGAAGATAATGGGAAGCGAACTACGCTGCCACCGCCATTGGAAACCCTACCTGCTGCGTCCATTGCACACGCGCGGAATATCCTCAGGTTAGCCTTGGAGTTCCACCCAAATTTTAGTGCAAATCGGGAACTCGGGAAAATCCTACTCATTCTTTACCCGAAGCAAAATTATATGTGGAAAGAATTTGAGTCCGTTTCTCACGTATTAAAAAGAAAGTAAAAATGTTTTCCATTTCTCAATTATTTAAGTGTATTTAATTTTTTTTCAAAAACTAATTTTTTTTCTAAGATATCCCTAATTAAAATAGAATAACTAATTCATGCGGTATAACAGGAATTTTAAGTCTTTTTAATTTATATATTGAATATTTATTTTATATGATTATATTTATAATAAATACATATTTTTTATAATAAATTATAGGCTTAAATATTTTTTGAATTTTTATAGTAACACTTTTTTTAATTTAATAGTGTGAAAGGTCTTTTTTTAGTTATTATATTTTTATTTTTTATTTTTTAGTTATATCATTTATTTTTTATTAACATCGTTAATGTTTGTTAATGTTGTGTCGATATGGAGAGGATCACTTCGTCCTAACATTTGTGATGTTATATTTTTTTTATTAAATACATTTTTGTCTATATAGTTTTATTTACTTCATTTTTTAGTCAATATAGTGTAAAACTCAAGATTATAAACTTTTATTTATTTGTTGGGGATGTCTTATATATAGTTTTATCATCCAATTACAATAACTTTGTACATGATTTTAAACTCAAAATCGTGAAATCACTAAGGTTAGCCTAGTTGTTGGGAAAATGGATTAAAGGTAGAAGTAAGAGAATCTGGGTTCAATCCTAGTCTCATTTTATAATATTTTCAATAGATCAAAAGTAAAAACTCGAGATCGTCTCTTTACAATGCATTTTTTTCAAGTTGGCATAAAAGTGATTGTCCTTAAGAATAACCAAGACTTGTCTTAAGTGTTCAAGATGTTCACCTACACCTTCACTATAAATTAAACTGTCATCAAAGTAGACAATAACAAACCTACCTATACAATCTCGAAAGAGATGATTCATTAGACACATGAAACTGTTAGGTGCATTTGTTAAGCCAAAAGGCATAATCAACCACTTATAAATTCCAAATTTGGTTTTAAAAGCAATTTTTCATTCAACTCCTTCATGAATCCTTATTTGATGATAACCAATTTTAAGATCAATCTTGGAAAATATGCATGCACCATAAAGTTCATCTAACATGTCATCAAACCTAGGGATAGGATGATATACTTAATAATAATATTATTAATGACCCTACAATTTGTGTACATTCTCCACTTGCCATTTTTCTTAGGCACCAATAGGACCAAGAAAACACAAGGACTATATTATTTCGAACCCATCATTTCTTCGACAAGTTATTAACTTAAACTTCTATTTCTTTAGTCTCAAGGGGGTTAGTTTTATAGGTTGGCCTATTAGGTAGGCTTGCCCTAGGGACTAAGTCTATTTGATATTCAATCACTCTTAAAAGGTGGAAGTCCATGTGGAACTTCTTGAGAAAAAAGTCATCAAATTCTTTCAAAAGCTTTTGTACCCCTTTAGCTAGATATTTAAGTTCATGACTAATGACTAGGCATGGCAATCTAACCCGTGATGGAAGGTGGCTTAGTTCCATGCACGCCCTTGATCTTGGTTCAACAAGGAGACTCCAAAATGGTGGAAGAATGGTGTTTTTTAAGAGACCATAAATCACAAAAATAATAATGAAAATTGAATCTCTTAATGAAAAAGCAAGGAGTCTTATTAAATATAACAATGACTACTTGTTCTAATATATTTGTTTGCAATATATACAACTTAAATAACTTTTATAGTATATTATTAATTTTAAATTATATATTTAATAATGCAATATCTATGTAAATATTACATATATTATTTTGTGATATTAATTGCAAGCATATTATATATGTACATATTATTTATATTTTTAATTTGTATTAATATAC